CTAACCAACTGGATCAACACTGCGGCGTTGAGGCAAGGTCTGAAGACAGCTTAAATACTGTGGATCCTCTAATGGTGGAATGAGCTCCAGCTGTGCAGGAGGTTCGACTCAGGAGGATCCACGGCGGACTCTGCTGGAGGAAGGTGGTACTTCTCCAGCTCCCAACAGTACCCCCTCCCTCAACGACCGCCCCTTGGCGGTCCGGAAGACGTCGATGGACAGGAACGCTCGTACTCCTCAATCAGGGATGGATCGAGAATGTAAGAACCAGGAACCCACTGGCGATCCTCCGGGCCGTAGCCCTCCCAGTCGACGAGGTACTGCCAGCCGCGACCTCGCCGACGGGAGTCCACGATCCGGCGGACGGTGAAGGCAGGATGACCATCGACTTCCAGGGCGGGTGGAGGGGAGTCGGATGGTGGGCACAGAGGACTTGAGACTACTGATTTCACTTGAGAGACGTGGAATGTGGGATGAATACGAAGAGTCGGGGGAAGTTGAAGGTGTATGGCTGATGGGTTGATGACCTGGGAAATCTTATACGGTCCAATGAATTTTGGTGAGAGTTTACGAGACATTCCCTTGAGGGGAATATCTCGAGTGGATAGCCATACCTCTTGGCCCACGGAGTACTCAGGGGCAGGACGTCTTCTGGAGTCGGCGAAACGCTTGGTAGTCTCGGAGGAACAATTGAGGGTTGTGATGGTCTCTCTCCATATGCGTTGGCAGCGTCTGATGTGCTGGTTGACTGACTGGACCGAAATCTCTCTCTCGTCTGTGGGAAAAAGTGGAGGTTGGTAACCGAGACTGACCTGAAACGGTGACTGGCCGGTGGAAGCAGATTTGAGAGAATTGTGTGCGTATTCTATCCAGGTTAGGTACTGGCTCCAGTCGGTGGGATTGTTTGATGTCAGACAACGGAGGGTTGATTCTAGCTGTTGGTTCATCCTCTCAGTTTGGCCGTTGGACTGTGGGTGATAACCGGAAGTTAGAGAGGACTTACAGTCGAGAGCGGAACAGAATGCCTTCCAAACTTGGGAAATGAACTGGGGACCACGGTCTTAGAGGATCTCTCGGGGAATGCCATGTAGACGGAAGACGTGTTTCACCAGGAGCTGAGCGGTTTGAAAAGCCGTGGGAAGTTTCCTGAGGGATGAGATGACAGGATTTTGAGAATCGATCAACAATGGTGAAGATTGTGGACATACCTCGGGAGATGGGAAGACCAGTGACGAAGTCGATAGCTATGTGGGACCATGGACGCGAGGGGACTGGAAGAGGTTGTAACAGTCCTGAGGGTAGTTGGTGTGAGGCCTTATTTCTTGCACAGGTGGAGCAGGCCAACACATATTCCTTGACATCTCTGCGAAGAGTTGGCCACCAGAAATGTCTTGAAATTAAAGCGACGGTTCTGCTCACCCCCTGATGGGCGGAGAACTTAGCAGCGTGCATCCACTGTATTAGGCGAGATCTGACAGAAGAAGGTACATAAGTTCGGTTAGTTGGACCGCTACCTGGGTCAGGTTCTGAAGCCAGGGCGGAATTAATGAGATCGGTGATTTCCCAGGTAACCACTTCAACAGTGCACGATGCGGGAAGGACAGGTTCAGGCGTCTCGGGTTGATCAACGGAGTACAGACGAGAGAGAGAATTGGGTTTGACATTCTTGGATCCGGGTCTGTAGGAGATAATGAGGTTGAAACGAGAGAAGAATATGGACCACCTTGATTGACGGGGATTGGCTTGTTTAGCTGACTGGATGTAAGCAAGTTTCTTGTGATCTGTCCAAACGAGAACCGGGTGCTCTGCTCCCTCCAGCCAGTGTCTCCATTCCTCCNGCAAGACTCAGCTTGGCTAGAGTACCTAAAACTGGCAAACACTCTGGCATCGAGATAGTGACAGTCAGCAGCTTAAGAGTCCTCAGGTAATGAGACAACCATCCGCAGGTGTGTGAGAGAACGAGAACCAGGCGCCACCTGGTGGTGGAGGGAAACCACACAAAAACACAACCCACACAAACTGGATTCCTAACAGTTTTCGTCATAAAGGGTCAAATAAAAAGGATATTTTAAAGATAATTTTCAGTAAAACATAAAGTTCTATCTTGTTTTTATCCTGATTAGAGATGGCTTCCTTTTTTTTAGCTCCTTTTTCCAGCAGAGCTGACTTGAAAGCTTTGATGGAGGCTACACTATCCCTCAGTTTTTAGTGAACATGACTCTAAATATTGCCCTATTGCCTCTGTTGAGCTGCAGCTACATAAAATTATATCTTTCCTTCTCATATTAAGGTTAAAGGAGTGTGTGCTGAGGTGAGCGGCATGGATCAGAGTGAAGACAGAGAGGGCAGAGAACCGGAGGACCAGAGCAAAGCTCAGAGGTCAGATCACCGTCTCTAACTGTCTAGGACTCTTTTCCACATCATAGCTAAGCATGAACATCACCAAACAATCTTTATTTTCAGGAAACCACCTGAACCAGAACCAGAACCAGAACCCAGCTGTGTGTCCTTAAAGAGCAACAGGTCAAAGGATGGCTTCTTTGATTTTAAATCTGAACAACCTTCAGCTGAAAAAAGGTGAGTTGTTTCTAAATGTTTTAACTGTATTGAATTGAACTGACTTGGTTAGAAATGTTTTGATTATGCATTTTCATATTTATACCAGTTTGTTTTGACTGGACATTTTTCCACCAATTCAGTCTCCAGTTAGTTCAGGGTAAACGTTCAATTCACAACACGTCATCTCGAGTTCAACCAGATCATCCAGTCAGATTGATA